TTCTTAGTACAGTAAATGGGGTTATGAAAGTCTTCTGATTTTACTTTCCACAGTTAATCATAGAGAATCCCCTAACTTTTGTTGATAGTAAACAAACTAGAAGAAATTCTCACACCTGTCAACCATTCTGAAGGCTAATACTGATTGGTTCTGCAAATGAAATTATAACCAAAGAATGATTAATGACAGAAGACCTTTAGAGGTAGGAGCTGACACCATTTATAGATTAAGTGGTATCTTGTAAGCAAATATTTTCAACCTATAATATTTGTCCATGCTTTTGTATTTAGTGTTAAGGAGAAGAGAGGAGGAAACCATTCCCTCTTTACAAATGTGTGTACGTTGCAGAAATGGCTTTGTAATGTTAGTAAATGATCCTTATAAAAAAAAATAAATGTAATATTTACATCCTGTAACAAGCAATTGTATTTCCTCATAAAGCACAAATAAAATCACTCATAGAGTTATTTGGCCATGACCACACAATATTCTTTTATTAGTTAAATGCAAGGAAAACCTTTTCCTTTAAAAGCAATTTTCAATTCGAGGCTGAATTTGGAATAAACCATTGTGAGTGGTGTGGATGTTTTGGCTGCTCAAATATTGATTATAACTTTAAAGTCTATCTATCTTGGGTCCCCAGGATAGCTGGATATTGGGGGCGTGTGGTCAAGTCTGATCTGGTTATTTCCTATTTTTGCAGCTTGCACCCCCTGCTGGTAAATTCATGTATTTGTTTTCTGCTGGAAAGGGATTGTTTCTCATTTTCTTCCCAATTAGGTGTAAAGGGAACATGCTGTTCCCTTAATTACCAGGACTCAGATTGGGCTACAAAGTGGCCCAGAGTTAGAAGATCCAGCCCTTGATTCTATCTCAAGGTTGTCTTCAGTTGATCGGACTCAACAGTATAAGCTGTCTTATCACCTCTGATGAAAATTTTTCTTTGAATTCATTAGGGAAAATCTATGTTTTTTAGTGCCTGGGAATATAGGGCCAGAATGTTTTTTGCTATGTCAAGTCTATCAGTCTTGGGCAAAAGGAAAAATTCCAACATAGGAAAGGATAGATTAATAATTTCAAATGCCTTCACCGAAGACGACATTCAGATGGCTAACAAACACATGAAGAAATGCTCAAAATCCCTAGCCCTAAGAGAGATGCAAATTAAAACAACTATGAGATATCATTTCACCCCAGTCAAAATAGCAAAATTTAACAGAACAGCAAGCAACAAATGCTGGCGAGGTTGTGGAGAAACTGGAACCCTGATTCACTGTTGGTGGGAGTGTAAAATGGTGCAACCCCTGTGGAAGGCAGTATGGCGCTTTCTCAAAAAGTTGCAAATAGAGATACCATTTGACCCAGCAATTCCACTACTGGGAATATACCCTGAAGAGACCATAGCTGACATCCAAGCAGATATATGCACACCCATGTTCATTGCAGCTTTGTTCACAATAGCAAGGAGTTGGAAACAACCTAAGTGCCCATCAACAAACGAATGGCTAGAGAAGCTGTGGTATATTCGCACAATGGAATACTATGCTGCATTAAAAAAGAAGGAACTCATGCAATATTATTCAAAATGGTTGACTCTGGAGAACATTATGCTGAGTGAAATATCCCAGTCACAAAAGGACAAATATTACATGATGCCACTGTTGTAGAATGGGACTGTCCTTGGGGTTAGGGAGACACTGAGTAAGATGGGTTCAATAATGTATACTGCACTGAAGCAGAGGAGGGAGAGAACCGTCTAAAAGAGAGATGTAATTGGGTATTTCTGTCATCACAGGAGACTAGAGCGAGGGCTGCATGGTGGAGGGGACCTGGGGGAGGGTTTGTAAAACAATGAAAGAATCTTTTCTTTTACTTTTCCATAATTTTTGGACTCATGTACTTATAACTTGTTAGTCAAATTTGTGTCTTCTAGGTTGCAACACCCCCATAATACATCTTGAAGGATATGTACATGTACAGCCAAGCACAATCAATAAGAGTGCATCTGAATTCCAAAATCAATCTCCATAATAGTCTATGTGTTTCCTACTGCCAAAGGGGCCCTTTAGAGTAGTGAGAGAAGATCTTCACCCTGAAACCCACAGCGTCCCTTTTCAGCAGGAAGTAGCTAAGAGAATACGCCGTCCCCTTTTCCTTATGACTCAGGGTGAAGTCTCTCTCAGGGAGGAGTGATAGGGAATGGCAAAGGACACACTGACAAAGAAGATTAATCAGAACTGGCTTTGACAAGCACTGTGGCATTTGGACAAGAACAAACTGGGAGGAGGGTAGAGAGAATAGTGCAACAATGAATGAGTGGAAGCCCAAAATCTCTGTAAATGTTTATGAAAATTAATAAAGTATAATTATAGAAAAAAAAAATTTCAAATGCACGTATCATAATGCAGATGCTTTGTAAACTATTTGTCCTGTTTTGTTCTTAAGCGCTGTAGAACCTGTTCCAACTCAAAGTGACCCTATGTCAAAAGACAGAAACCCTGAGTGATCCTGCAGCATCCTCACAATACAGGGTCACTCTGAGCCATGCTCAACTCAATGGCACTTAACAACAGCAATACATAAAGGATAATCACACTTCTTAAGATGATCATTCATATTTTACACTAAGTCCAGGCAACATCTACTTATTCTCTGTACATCTCCGCCTTACTTGTCACCATGGTTAGTTCCAAAGACCAGGTTGTTATGGAAAAATTGGCATTATGCAAAAATAACAGGTGACCACATCAGATAAAAAAATGGAGGCTAGCTACATCATTATATAACTCTCAAATTACTGCATTACAAACTGAGGATCATGGCCCAACCAAGCTAAAACAAAACCTTAACTACCACAGCCAGTTATTCTTGCCTTGCATCCTGCCTTTAGTACCTACCACCTGACATTGGACATTAATGTGCAAAATAGTTGGGTATTAGATTGTTTTACTACTGTTGTAAAAGTTAAATGTCAAATAAAAAGACAGTGGATAATTGAGGAGATGGTATATAAAAGTATCTTTCTGTCAGGAGAAGCACCTTTTTTTAGGTAGAAAAATATAGCTTGAAAGATAAATCATATCCGTTGTTGTTGTTGTTGTTGTTATGTACTGTTGAGTCAAAACTGACCCATAGCTGACCCCTCCAGCAGGTTTTCAGAGGCAATTAATCACACAGGAGAAGATTGCCCATCCTTCTCCCATTGAGCAGCTGGTGGACTTGAACTGTATGCCTTCAGGACTGCAGTGCAGCTTCTTGCTACTAGGCCACCAGAGCTCCCTAAATTGTATCTATTCCTGATCTATATAACTTTCTGTCAATAAAAAAAGAAAATCCAAAGTGATTTTTGGGGGACTCAACCAAATGAATAGCCAGTCACTGAGTCTGAGTAGTCTGGACATTAAAATAAATTTTCTTCAAATTCTTAGAGCGAGTTACAGTAGTACTACACAGATTTTAAAATATTTTCTTTTAACAAATGTATATAAGAGCCTTTCATATTTATTATTCATTTATTCAACAAGTATCTACTGAGAACTTACTATATTCTATTAAAGGATCTAATGTCTGCATTCAAAGGTACATAAAACATGGCCGTTCTCCCAAAGGACTCACAACCCCGCTTCTTTCCTCTGAAAAAGGATAATATTATCTACTCACGCATTTCTCTTGTGGTCCTCCTCAATACTTCAAAGTCAAAAACCCAAACCAACATTAAAATCAGAATAAAGATGATACACTCTTCCCTGTATGCTATCTCTTAATAATCATGTGCAGATACTCTATGTAGACATTTAAACATAGAAGCTACAGTAAAAGATTCTAGTTAATACATTTGAGCAGTCACATAAAATTTATATATTTACAAATAAGAGGAAGAAACCCGGTGTCTCCAGAATACTATTCCTGACGTATAACACAAGGCACTAAATGGTGGACATAAATTGCTAATGCTATTGCTATTATTTATATTTTTATCATTATTTACCAAATTCTTGGCAACTTTAGAATCATTCTTGAAAAGTGATTTTCTGTGGTGCATCATTTTAATATTAAGAAAATATTTTCAATACTTTTACAATCATTGATTTCTTAACTCCTTTCTACTTGTAAAGCTTACAAATATATGGGCGTAACAAAAAAAAAAAAAAAAAGATGTAGGCCCCAGAATAGATTTCACAGAGGCAAGAGCTCTAGGTTTTAATCAATACCATCTGTTATCTCTGAAAAGTCAATTCATTTAGAATGTTTTAAATATTCATTAAAAGGATAACTTAATTATTTGTAAAATCAACAGCTGATTCAAAATGGCACATGGAAAACATGTAGCCTTTAACTGTAAAAAATACCAGGAAAAGCACCAGCACTGGCAATTCTTTGAAAAGGGTGGTTTAACCTATTTAATGTGCCATAATGTGAAGAATAAAAATAAGGATCTATGATGATAGTATATAGACTCAAAGTAAGAAAGCAATCATGCGACAAACTTTCCTAGTATCAACCAAGTTTCTTCTGGCTCTAAATTCTATGACAGAATATAATGCTAGATTCACACTGTTTTATTGTTGTTCTTCATTCATATTCCTTCGTAGTAGTGACTGAATTTATTATTGTGAGGTGACAAAATTGAGTTTCTTTCTCCATCCACTTGTACCAAGATTGACACTGAAGTTCTCATTTTCCACATTGAATGGATCTACTGCCACACTGAGGAGAGTCCTCACACTCGTAAATAATCGTATGTCTTAGTTTTCAATGGTTCTGGATAATGTAGGTTTAAATGTATAACTATTCTAAGTAGCAAAGAAAACCGTTCATGGTTTAGCAGTTTTATGGAACAAGCAGACAAGAATAACTCACTATCGTAATTTCAATATTTTGTCTACACTTCTTGTCCAAAATACATATATGAGACCTATAACTAAAAGCTTAACTGCCATTTTTCTGTCTTCTCTATAATAAAACACTGTGTCCCATCCTCCTCCTACCGCCATGCCTATCTATGTGGCTGCTGAAGGGTCCACAGCTTCTCCTGTTTCTTCTTCTTTTGTTTCAGCCTCTTCATTTACTTTCTCATTCTCCACCTCAGTTTCAACCTTTTCTCCGGTCTCACCTGGAAAATGAACCAAAGCAAACTTGGAAATATTAAGAGACACTCATTTCATGTTAACAATAACAATGCATCAGAGAGCTGGACAATTACTAAGGATGACAGAAGAAGAATAGATGCCTTTGGGCTGTGGTGCTGGAAAAGAGCCTTGAACATATCAGGGACTGCCAAGAAAACAAACAGGTCTGTCTTGGAGAGAGTGAAACCAAGCAGCTTCTTGGAGGCAAGGATTTTGAAGCTCTATCTCACATATTTTGGCCACGTTACCCGAAGGGACCAGTCCTTGGAGAAGGACATCATACTTGAAGAGTGGAGGGACAAAGCAGGAGAGGAAGAACCCAGATAAGATGGATTGACACAGTAACTGGGGTAATGGGGATACGTGTGTAATGGGATAGTGAGACTGGCTCACGACAGAGCAGGCTTCAGAGCTATTGTACATAGGGTCACTATGAATCACAAGTGACTCAATAGCACCTAACAACAACATCATTCACAGTTTGCTTCCAATAGGAGAAGTTCTTGCTCTCTTTACATCTAGTTTTTCTAGAGGTGCCAAATAAGGGGAGGAATGGGATGCCTCTGGTGATGTCCCTGATTCCTGCAGGGAGCATCTGAGTCACAGCACGCTCTTATGGAAAACCAGGATGTAAAAATGAGCCAAGAAATTCGAGTGGAATATACTACAAATAGAAAGTTCCATTTATATCTACAGCAAAAGGTATGCCTGGTAATTATGATGCTTTATGGAAACAAGAGTTTAACCCTTCAAGATTGCCAGCATTTAAAAGTCTAGGTATTTCATGTTCAAATCTGTTTTCTTGATAAATATGCTTTGGCAACACTGTTCTCATATGAGATTAATCATCTGATACCACAGCAACTGCCCCTTCTGCAAGGGCTGTGCTTTCTACTCCGTCCTGGCCTCCCAGAGCTCCCTACAGTGCTACGATCTGTGCCCCCTACTTCATGCATTTGTATTATCCTAGCCCCTAAAGGAAGTCCCTGGTAGTGCTTGTGGTTAAATGCACGAGTATTAACCAAAAGGTTAGTAGTTCAGCTTCACCAAAAGGCACTTAGGAAGGTCACAGACCCTAGAAACCCTGTGGAGCTGTTCTCTTCTGCATATAAGGTGTTAGCATAGGTCTGAGGCAGCTTAAAGGCAGCTCTTTACTTCCTAAAAGAATTTTGAGTTTGCCACCTTTGATCCAAAAAAACACATACTCTTAGTTGCTTTTCCCTTCTTTCCAAAGTACTTTTTACACACTTTTATTTAAAAATTCACACCAATAGACTGAGGTAAGTATTTTTACATTCTGCCTTCCTTCACTAAATCTTCAGCCCCTGGATGGCAAGGGTTACCTCATATTCATTCTCACCTCCATCACCCAGCATTTAGTTAAGACTACAAAAGACACTGAGTTAATGAATAGAAGAATTTTACTGTACTGTAAACTAACATTTACCACAAGGTAAATCATTTCCCAAAAGAGAACATTATTTTTACATTGTGATTCCAGTAAAGAACAGCATAAATTCCATTTGGTTTTCTGCTGGTAAGATATCTTTTTGGAAGCAGGAGTGGCATCCACTTCCTAAATAACATGCCTCCGGAAACTCTATGAACTTTGATAAATGTCAATGGTTGTAGAGAGGCTTCAGGCCTTTTATTCATTGAGTCACTATGAGTCATGCTCAACTTGAAGGCAATCAACAAAAACAACAAGATATATTTTAAAATAATTTTATTTTTATAGCCAAACACAAGAATTTCTTTCATACTGCCCTCATAAAAAGATAAATATAGTCTTTTATTTTTTATAAAAATAAAAAGACGGTCAGAAACAGACTGACAGACCTTTTCTGAGGTTAAGACTGTTGTTGTTGTTGTGTACCTTTGAGTTGGAACAGACCCATAGCTAGTCGTCCAGCAGGTAGATGCAGTAAACTGCACGGGAGATCGCCCGTCTTTCTCCCATGGAGCAGTTGGTGGATTCAAATTGTGTACCTTTGCATGGGAAGCACAATTCCTTACCACTAAGCCACCAGAGCTCCTTCAGGTTAAGACTAGCAAAATGGAAACTGATTCATTATTTGGGCATTCATCTATTGAAATGTCAACTCCTCTACAAGCCATTTCTTTCTTTTGGCTTTGGTATGGTCAGGCCATACCTGTGGCTTTACAAAAGAAAAACTGAGGGGAAATTCAGAAATTGTAACATGCTGCTTTGATTCTATTACCAGTCAATTTCTAGACTACAGACTATTTGTTGGAAAGCGGAATTGAGCATTGAAACAAGGTCCATTTCCCAGGAATGTAAGCCTTTCCGTTTGGATCAAATGAACGTCAGTGACCTGAGAGACGGATCACTCCTAGAGCAGCTATTATGGAGTTCATCTAAACATCAAAAATCTTTTAACAATTTTTACCTTCAACGTGTTGGTCATCTTCATCGGTGTGAATTTCCCCGATCATTTCCACATTTGCTTCTGCCTCTGATGTAATTCCTGCTGGGTGCTCCACATTTCCAACTGTTACTTCTGGCTGGATTTCTTCCATGCTTCCAGGAACTTTAGGAGATTTATGGAGCAAATCATTCTCTACAGCTGTTTCTTCAAGCTGACTACTGTCCAATATTTCTAATGCCTTATCCTCTGTGGGAATCGTTTCTGGAATTTGAGGCTGCTCAATTTTTTCATCTGGTTCCTGAAGTTGCTGCTCTTTAACTGTCTCCTCAATCTGATTATGCTTCAACAGTTCTGATGCTTCACTGTCTTTGAGAACGGTTTCTGGAATCTGGGGTTGGTCATCCTTCTCTATTATTTCTTGAGGTTGTAGTTTTGAAGCTGTTTCCAGAGGTAGAATTTTCTCAGGTGTTCCTAGAGGCTTCATTTCACTGGCAGGTTGTAGGTTCTCAGGACCTTCCACTGTTCTAGAAGAGACCTTCTCTCCCACCGTCCTTAAAGGATCACCCTCAGCTTCTGTTCCTAATGGTTCAGTCTCAGCAATTCCTTTCAACGTCTGAGCCACCACCACTGATTCCACATCTTTCTTTTTTTCTTCCACTCCTGAGGTGTCATTTTTGCCACCTGCTTGAGGTGACCCAGACACCTCAGGTTCCTCTAGAAGCTGGGGCTTTTGTGTGGATTTTGGTTGATCTGCTAATTCTTTTTCCACTGGTCCTGGTTGATCAGCTGTATCCTTTCTCGTGGAGCTCAGGGGCTGTTCATGGAGGGATTTAACACCATTAGCTGTAGATGTTGCAGAGATCTTGAACTTTTCACGTGCAGGAAGGCTTTCTCTTTTAACATTGCCATAAAACGTGGATTCTTTTCCCATTTTATGCGGTTTAGGTTGGGCAAAGCAGGAGTCTTGCTCTTCTGTGGTTGACAGGCACTCATTTGAAGTAACTTTTTGATCATTCATTTAAAAAGAAAAGAGAAAATACAAATTATTATTTCATTTCTAATGTTGAGGAAGAGATTTTATATCACAAAGTAGATTTAATAACTCAAGACAATTCTCAGTGGAATTGTGTACAGAGAGGTTATGCCATGACTCTTCGAGTCAACTCTTATCACTATCTTCAGTTCAAGCATATCCTCTTAAATGTTAAGGTCCCTTAAAACCATGCCTTACTTTTGTGTACTTTTTATATATCTTTTCCCAACTCATGCCCTATATTCTAATTTCACACATTTTACTTCATTTTCTCATGTTATCTTTCTTTTCCCTTTCTCCTTTTCAGGTTTCACAGCATCTAGTCCCTGGATTGTGTAAAAAGAGCAAAGGCCAGCTGGGCACAGCCATATCTGACCTTTACCAACTTCACAAAAGGGGACTGTCCCCATCAACAGGATCAACAATGCGAAACCAATTCCCATGAGGTCAGATATGTCCCCAACACTCCCATAACGCTTCCTACTCATCTCAACACCAATCTTGCTGCTTTACTGAGTCCAAAAGCTGATGTGATTTCTCACAAACCACACAGAACCATATTGGAAAGTAAAAAAACTATATTTCAGGTTAGTAGCAGGATACAGTCAGGACAGCTTTCCAAATGTACTTGCTGGCACCTTGAGCTTTATGGCTTTAGGCCAGTGTTACAATATTCTCAGTTCTGCCAATACTGGCTCCTTTCCCCTCTCCCCCCACCCCCAAGTCCTCCAACCAACTTGGGAAAAGCCTCTTAGCTCTGGTTCCAAGGGTGTTAGCAGTCCCAAGGTCAGCTCTATCTCATGTGGGTCTCTGGTCCTCTGTTTTGGCCATGGCTGCAGCCACTGTAGGTCTACCTGGAGCAAGAATTTCTCGGCCCAAAGGATGCATTGCATTCTCTTCTTCTTTGCTGGCAGGGAAAGTCTTCCAATTCCGCTGCTGGAACTGCTCCATTTAATGGTGAGACTAGCCCATCCCTTGTGGATAGGCTAACACACCTTATTCACATATTCCCACCCACCCACCCATATGACAAAGTCAAATTCAATGGCTAGGAAAGCCATTTTGAATACTAAACTCTTCATACCACAGGCTGTCATGTTAGAAGTCTTATTTTCCTCTTCTGAGGCAGAATGGCCATCAGAAAGGAAAAGCATCCCTGACAAGATCCCTTAGAAAGGTTAAGATGTCTGGGAGGAGGGGGAAAGTGTCAGAAAAAAAAATAGGTGTGTGTTCTACACACTGAAGAGAACTCAAGAGCTGGGAATTACACATCTTAATTCTGGCTTTTCCTCTAACTGTGTGGCTTTAGGAGCTTACCTCCCAATCAGCTTACCTGTGAGAAGGCATTGATACTCTCTTTCCCACCCATCTGGAGTAGCAAGAGGTATCATGTCATCTTAGATAGTGAATGGGAAGGTTCTATGGGCAGTTTAAGATAAGCAATTTGAAAATATGTTCACACTCTTTGACCTAGGAAATTCAACTTCTGGAACTTTATCCTAAAACCATCATCTTTAAAAAAAAAATGCTCTGAAGAAAAAAGACAGCATCCCAATACTCTTTTTATGAAGAAAAACTAGACAATGCCTTAAGAGCCTAATGATTTAGGAAAGAAATAAGTATTCCACTGCTGCTGTTGTTGTTATGTGCCATCAAGTCACCTGTGACTCATAGTGACCCTATGTACAACAGCTCTGAACAGCTCTGAACCCTGCTCTATCCTGAGCCAATCTTATTGTCTCTGACACGCTTATCCCCATTACTCCAGGCATTGAATCAATCCATTTCATAGAGGATCTTCCTCTCTTGCACTGACCCTCCACCCTCCCAAGCATAATGTCCCTCCCCAAGGACTGGTCCTTCCTTGCAAAATGCCCAAAATATGTCAGATAGAGGTTCAGAATCCTTGTCTCTAAGGTGCAGTGTGGTTTCAGCCTCTCCAGGATGAATTTGCTTGTACTCTTTTCCAGCCCCACAGCTCAAAGGCATCAATTCTCCTTCTATCATCCCTAGTCACTGCCCAGCTTTCTGACACATAGCAAGCAATTGTGAAGACTATGGCTTGGATCAGGCACATCTTGGTCTCCAGACTGACTTCTGTTGTTCTTCAATACTCTGGAGAGGTCCCTAACTGCAGACTTTCCCAATGAAATTTGTCTTGATTTCCTGTCTGCTAGTGACAAGAATGCTGATTGTGGAGCCAAGCAAACTAAAGCTCAATCTCTTCATCGTCTATCATGATGCCGCTAATTGGCCCAGTGGTGAGAATCTTTGTTTTCTTAATGTTGAGCCTCAATCCATATTGAAGACTGCAGTCTTTGACCTTCTGCACCAACTGCTTCAGGTCCTCCTCAGTTTCAGCAAGCAGAGTTGTGTCATTTGCATAACACAGGTTGTTGATGAGTCTTGCTCCAATCCTGATGCCACATTCTATTATGCTACAAAAATATGATTTTGGAGACCATATGTTAAAATTAGAAACTAATCATAACACACTAAGTTCACATATCAGCATTCATAGGTGGGTTAAGCAAAGAAAACAAAGTGCTTATTAGCATATGGTCTACTGTGCAACTAAGTGCTCATTATATATGGTTCATTATGCAATGCTGAGAGGAAGGGCAAGAAGGATGAGACGGGGGAAAACGAAATCACAAACAAAGGAGCAAGGAGAGTGGAAGAAAGGAAACCAAACATTGAAGTGATTTCTTCTTTCCCCTCCCCCCACCGCTGAAGAACATTTTTCTTTTTCTTTCCCTTCCCCATCTCCAAATCACACACGCCTATAGTTTAAAGAGTTACCTGCAGATCAAATGTAAGGCACTCGTATCTGGTTTCCTTCTAACTTCCCCTCTCTGAGGACAGACACCTTAATGCTTCTGACTGTTTTGGTGGAGGGCGTGTGTGTGCATATTTTTATATCTCTAAAAGAATTGACACGGTGACTGCCACAGTGGGCTCTAATATGTTAGGAAGTGTGAAGATGGCACAGGATATAGGACAGCGTTCAGATCTATTGTTCATAGGGTTGCTATGAGTTGTACTTCAGACATCTAACAACAACAACAACAAATGAATTGTTACTTTATGATTTTTCCATTTGGGGTATTTTCATTAACTCTCACTGTGGAAGGCAAGGACTTAGCTCTTTGATAACTTACCTCTAAGGTGAGACACTCCTTGGTACACTTTCACCCCACCAGCCCCCGTGTCTTTTAAGGGTTGTATAGTTTCGGGGTTGGCTGGTTCTCGGTTTTCTCTACTGAATGCATGAAATCCAGCTTTCTCTGGCATGATGAGTCATCACATGCCTATCTTTCTTCATTCCAGTACCGCTCGATCTTTTCTCCTATTCCTTCTATTCTTTTGGATTTAAATATTTAAAACATCTCTTTCCTGTCATTTTAGTGGGTTTCAGGCGGTCATGAGAAGAGGCTTTAATGAGTATTTATAAGGAAAAAGAAATCCAGGATGCGTTTAAAAACAATATACATACAAATGTAAAGAACACAGATCCTGTCCTGTGGATCCGTGTCATACAGGGTGACACCATCAAAAGTACTGAAATCGTTAAAACCACACCGTGTGAGAAACGCTGTTATAACATGCAAAAGGGCAAAAAGTCATGAAGGCAGTGAGTCTTGGGAAATGTTGTTATGTGCTGCTGAGCAGGAATTGACCTCTAGCTGACACTCCAGTGGGTTTTCAGAGACAGTAAATCACACGGGAAGAGACTGTCCATGTTTCTGCCGCAGAGCAGCTACTGGATTTGAACCACATACCGTTGGGTTGGTAGTATAATTCCTTATTGCTAAGCTACCAGAGCTCCCTTATATCAACACTAGTTCCTCATTGTAACAAATACACTAAAGTAAGACATTAATAAAAGGAATTACAGCAGGAAAAGGGGGGAATATGGAATTCTATATTTTCTGTAAGCCTAAAACTGTTCTAAATAATAATGTACTTATATATACATATTTTTATGTCTTAAAAACAGATCCATGTATGTACTACAATACCAGAGGTGTGCAGTTCAAATCCACCAAATGCTCTGTTGGAGAGGAAGGGACAATCTCCTCCTGTACCAGTCAGACCCAATTTGACGGTACATGCACAAAAAATAATGAAATTTAAAAAAATAGATCCATATATTTATTTTTTAAAACTCTTCTTTGAAAAATGAATTTGAGTTTGGCAGTACAGAAGTCAACATAACTTGCTAGGTTAGAGAGAAAGAAGACAGCAATGAGAGAGTAAAATGGCTGAACATAATGATTGATTCAACTGGAGTGGTGAAGGGCGGGGGATGGTTGCGAGAGCACTGGTTTCTAGAGATGAACAAATTTCAACAACGAAAAGACACTAAGAATTCAATGACTGGAGATGTTTGGAGACTGTGACAAAGTGGTGAAGTCTGGACATACTGAATCTTGACTGGAAAAACACGTGATAGGCTGGAGCTGAGCTGGAGTTGGCTTTGTGTTTTGAGGAAGGGGTAGCGTTTTGCACAGAGGCTCATGCTAGCAGGGGGTGAGGAGGAGAAGGGAGGTTCAAGGATGTGTCTCTCCACTCTCCCTGATGGCCTGAGTTTTCTGGAGCCTCCTATGGAGAGGGATCAGAGAAGCAGGGTTTAGCAAAAAGCTCTGAAGCGGAAAGCACAGTTGGTTTCAAGGATCCTCCTGACAGAACAGAGAAGGACGCTGTACTCCTTTCCCTCTTCCGTCCATCACTGAAACCATCAAATAAGCAGTAAGTAAGACCATTTAATAAAAGTGTTTTTTCAGGTCTATTGAGGAATTCATTATGACAAGACAATTCATTTAGAGATTACAGAGAGGGTGTTCTGGTGATAATTACCATAAGGGTGTAAACCAGGAAATGTGTTAATAGACTAATCATAGAGGTCTGTCAGATTATTTTTCTGGAAAACAGTTATTACAATGATTAGTACTGTCAGTTGAATGAAATGAATCATTTGCATC